GAACCAAGGTGAGTGAGTCGATGTACATTTTTAATGTAGTGTAGGGCTTTCTGAAATTGCAGGCTGGGCTCAGTAAAGTTGAGGAGTTCAGTCAGTGTCCTTATGTTCCCCCAGTGTGGAAAGTGTTAACATGGTTACTCCGTTTAGGGCTGCCAATTTAGCCTCTTCATTTGCCCTCTTGTTAGATGGGGGTGGTATCTGCACAACGGTTTGTTTTCTGGGCTCAGTGAGCCATTGTTTACTGCCCCTAAGGGAATAGTCCAGGAAGATTACTTATTGCTGGCAAATTTGGGCCTTTTTTGCAGAAGCTCAGATAATAGTGCTTGGGTCCCAGACTCACAGTTTTCCTTGGTATTGGCTGCCAGTAGCAGGTTATCCACATATTGAAGCAGGGTGACTTCGGGGTGCATAGTTCTGAAATTGTTGAGATCTCTGTGGAGGGCTTCATCAAAGAGATTGGGGGAGTTTTTGAACCCCTGTGGGAGTCTGGTCCAAGTTAGTTGATCAGACGTTCCAGTTTCTGGGTTTACCCATTCGAAAGCAAACAGCAACTGACTATCTTTATGCAGAGGCAAGCAAAAGAAAGCATATTTTAAGTCCAGGACAGTATACCATTTTCGCTCAGGGTTCAGGGTGCTAAGCAGATTGTACGGATTAGGTACTGTGGGGTGAATGTCCTGCATTCTGTTGTTGGTCTCTCTTAGGTCTTGAACAGGGCGATAGTCCCCAGTTCCTGGCTTTTTACTGGTAGCAGGGGAGTGTTCCAGGCCAATTGACAGGCTCTTAGGACCCCTAAGGCCAGATATTTCTGAATATGGGGCCTTATCCCATCTTTAGCTTCTTTGCTCAGAGGATATTGTTTAATATTAATTGGGGAGGCTGAGGTTTTTAACTCCACTGTTATTGGAGGTTGTTTTACTGCTAGGCCTAACCCAGCAGTTTCTGCCCAGGCATCTGGGTAATCTGTTATCCATTTCTGGGATAGCTTGCCTGTTTGATCAGTCTTGGGGGGTGTGAAGAGTTGATGTTCATCTTTTACTGACACAGTTAAAGCCATGACTATAGGAGTTTTTACTGAAAGATTTAGAAATTTCATTTGGGTGCCTTCAGGGTTAAAAGTTAATCTGGCCCAGAGTTTGGTGAGCAGATCTCTGCCTATCAATGGGGCTGGGCATTCTGAGATCACTAGGAAGGAGTGATGGACTTTTCCTTTCCCCAGGTCCATGGTCCTCCTAGTTGTCCAAGCCCGATATTTACTGCCATTAGCCCCTTCAACTAGAGACCTTTTAGTTGATAGAGGGCCCAAYGGGGCCTTAAGGGCTGAGTATACTGCCCCTGTATCCACTTCAAAGTTTACTGGGGTCCCCTCCACTTCAAAAGTTACCCTGAGCCCCTACTTTTTAGTCATCCTCCAGAGTCAGAATGGCTGGCTGGCGTGGCTGTTTCTTTTTAGGGCACTCTCTGCCCAGTGTCCTTTTTTTTTTTACAGTAGGCACATTGATCTGAGGCCAGAGGTGGCTTCTGGCGTGGGCCCAGGTATCCCTTTCTGTCTCCCTGTCTCTTAACTTCTGGCTTATTTGTTGTTATGACCAGGACCTTAGTCAATGCCTTAGTCTGTCTTTTGTTTCTTTCATCCTCCCTTTGCTCCCTTTCTTCCTCAGTTTCTTTTTTATAGTATACCTTCTCTTTAATATCCAAGGCAGCTTGCCCAATAAAGGCCATCGTAACAGATGCCTTTTGATCCTCTGCCTGAGGATCAAAAGGAGTATATCTCCTATATGTCTCCATAATTTTCTCCAGAAACATAGAGGGAGATTCATTAGGCCCTTGAATAATCTCTCTTACCTTGGCCAAATTAGTTGGCCATCTAGCGGCTGCTCGGAGACCCACTATTAGAGCCCGGCGATAAGTGGACAGATGATCCCTACCTTCAAAGGTGTTGGGGTCCCAGTTGGGTCGGTTCAAGGGGAAGTTGTGTCGGTCGCCCATCTGGTCAGAGGATATTTTTTTTTTTAGCTTCTAGGAGGATTCTCTTTTGTTCCTCTGTCATGAAGAGAGTCCCTAGGAGTTGTTGGCAGTCATCCCAAGTAGGCTGGTGTGAAAACATCAGCGGTTTCTTTGAGTTCTTTTAGCTGGGCCAGTTTCCTCCAGGGGAGGAGGGGCTGTGTGTGCCTTGGGGAAGTCATCTGGAGGGTGCTAGGCCGGCTTAACCTCCTCCAATGATGGAGAAGCTGAGTCAGCAGCAGGGGAATCACTTAGAGGGTGTTGGGGGTTGGGGAACGAAGGCAGGGGATAAGGAAAGGGAGGAGAGTCCAGCAGAGTCAAATCTTGAGACTCAGGGAGAACAAAGGGTGGAGGAGGAGCAGAGGGTTTGAGAGATAGAATCGTGGGGGGGGGGGAGTAGGAGTGGGGGCAGGGACAAGGAAAGGCTTCACCCATGGAGGAGGAGATTTGCAGAGGTCCTGCCAAGATATATGGCTGTTGATCTGGATGGCTATGTGGTCCCGCCTGAAAGACAAAGACAATATCTCTGACTTTTCAAATTAGTGGGAAGTAGAAAGATCCTTCTGGGGGCCATCTGACTCCAAAGGCGGGTCATTCTGAGGCACAGAGAGTCTGCCAGGTCCGGCGTTTTACTGAAAAAGAAAGATTCTGAGCCCTTAAGCGGACTTCAGTCCAGTGATCAAGGGTCAGAGACAGAGGCGTGGAATGGCTCTGTCCCATACTGGGAGCTACTCAAACAGAGACAATACAAACGTGACACAATCACACAAACACGGACACACACAGTAAACGTGTAACACAAGTTCAGAGGCAAAGATTAGAAACAGACTGTGAATTTAACCTGAGAGAAAGAATTGCTGGCAAGACCAGACGGGTTGGCAGCAGAATATACCAGATGAGGGCACTTCTGTCCCTCCCAGATGAGGGCACACTTCCGACCCTCCCAGATGAGGGCACCTCCGTCCCTCCCAGAGTCCTTCAAGGCGTCCCTTGAAAGACGTGGTCTGTGGCTTCAGGACACGTCTGTCCACCACCGCCAGGGGGAGCTCACACTCTCCTCTGGCAACCACACTCTGCCAACCCAAACCAAAAAACCAGAAGGCTCTGAGAGCTCACGCTCTCCGCTGAGCCAAAAACCAGACTCTGAGCGATCGCAAAGGAAAAACAAGAAGGAGAAGAAGGAGGAAGAGAAGAAGAAGAAGAAGAAGAAGAAGAAGAAGAAGAAGAAGAAGAAGAAGAAGAAGAAGAAGAAGAAGAAGAAAAGGTGCCTTACTTACCCCCTAAAGGAGTCTGTTGAGGTCTCCCTGTCTGGCGATGCGCAGTTCCCGGCCAATGCACCAAATGTAAGGGTCCGGCGAAACGTCGGAGGAAGAGACCACAAGAGACTGTCTTATGCAACAGCAGAAGGGAGGGTTTATTTGGAGACCAGCATGCTGGGGCTCTGAGCTCACTATAGCAAAGAGAGATAGAGCCCTGAGAACAGCTTAAGCAGAGCTTATATACTTTCCTTGGAGAGGGCAGGGAGAGAAGTTACATTTTGTTTTTTTTTTTTAAATTAATTGTTCAAAACATTACAGAACTCATGATATATCATCTTTCATACATTTGACTCAATTGGGTTTTGAACTCCTATTTTTACCCCAAATACAAATTGCAGAATCACATTGGTTACACACTCACATTTTTACATAATGGCATATTAGTGACTGTTGTATTCTGCTACCATTCCTATCCCCTACTATCTTGAGAAGTTACATTTTGTAGTTTGGGGACATCTCATTCTGGGAACAAGATTAACAAACAGTTCACAGTTGGGGACAGCACATTCTGGGAACAAGATTAGCAAACAGTTCTTAAGATTTCAACAGTGTTTTGTTAAGCATATAGAAAAACGGAGTGACAAGTACCTATTTTATTAACTTTTCATTCCAAACACCCCTTTTGTGGTTTTCAGGCTTATAAGGAGTGCCCTTGCAATTGTTTTGGGCTGATCAGGGGAACAGCTTTATGTTCACACTGGTCAGCCGCCACCGGTGTGCTTCAATAAAGGCTTGATTCGATTATACGTTAGTGGTCTGGAAGTCAGTTTATGAAACCCTGGGATGAAGCTTTAACTACAACAGTTGTATTCAGTAAGCTCTTGGACCTTGTTTTTCCAGTATGAGTTTGATATCCCCATGCATCCCAAACATCTGATTAATTTGATGCATTCACAGGCGGTCACTGCTATTAGCACAATTTATTTCTCAGTTTATGCCTATGGTTGTGCCAGACAGATGGTGGTTGTTTACTTGCATGAAGTATGGAGTCATTCCACCTCAGCACTTAAATTCAAAGTGGAGTAGCTCATGGCAAACTACTGCTGTCTAAAATGGAGTGACAAAGGTTCAGACACAGCCTGAGAACTGCAGTTCTCTTATAATCATGGAGTGACTCAGAGAGAGCAGAGCCCGCCCTCCACATCTTAGGAAAGAAAAGCGAATGCTCCCAAACCAGGTGAGATCTAAGAGCTTTATCTGTGTTCTCTTTTTCTGTGACACCTCAAAGTTTCTGTCAGTCCCTTGAAGACAGACCTTGGGCCACTGTACCCCTCTATATATTCTTCCCAGAGGGGCCACGCTGATTAGAAACTCCTTGCCTGTCCTTCACCCCTCGTTTCTTTGATGGGAAAAAATAAACAAATAGCCAAGCTCTGTCTGTTGGACCACCAGCACCTGAGCTTTTACTAAACCAAGGACTACAGTGGCATGATGTTAGCTTGAGATAAATTAGGCATATTCTGGCTTGGAAGAAGCCACTTTTGTCTTGATCACTATATAAGTCTCCTTCCTCTGACTCCAATCATGGGGATCCACTGCTCTTGCCACAGTCTTCGACCATGCTTCCATCAGTAAGTCCCCCCAAGTTTGTACTCTACACAATCCTGGATCTTTATTTCACAGTTTGTTGCAGTCAATTCTTTCACATGGAATTTTCTTGGAGGGCCATACAACAAAAAAAATCGAAGAAAAAAATCAATAAGGCACTTATATATTAGAAGTGAATTAAGAGGTGCACCAACCCATCCCAATGTATAGACCTTATTTGGGTTTCAATTCAAATAAACAGATTGTAAAAATGTAATCATTTCTAAAACAGTTGGAGAAATGAAGTACTAATATCATAATATTAGCAAGTACTTTCTTCTTCACAACAAAAACATAGGAAGTAAGTCATTCTCACATTTTCTAGAGATTTTCACCATGTGGTACAACAGAATTTTAAAAAAAAAGAAGAGATTCAAATTAGAAAGAAAGAAGCAATACTGGCTACATTTGAATTTAATGTGATCTCTGTGGAATCTATAAAAAAGCTATTAGAACTAATAAATAAATTTAGTAAGATTGCCAAAATCAAGAACCATATACAAAAATCAATTGTATTTTCATATGCTTGCAGTGAACAAAGAGAAGTTGGATTTAAAAAGGAGATCACTTACAATAGCATCAAAAATATGAGCTACTTGGAATAAATATGACAAGTGTGTAAAACCTGTGCACTAAGAATCATGAAATGGTGTAGGAAATTAAAGAAGATCCAAATAAATAAATATGTATACCATGTTCATAGATCAAAAGGCAATATCGTATTGATCTGTAGATTCAGGCAATTTCAATCAAAATCCCAACAGCATATTTTTTTAGAACTTGACAGAAATTCAATTTGAAATTCATATGGAAATGCAAAGGATGAAGAACAGTTCCAACAACTTTGAAAAGCAAGAATAAAGTTGGGAGACTTACACCACCTGACTTCAAGTCTTATTGTAAGACTACAGGAATCAAGCCAGTAGACAAACAAATAGGTCAATGAAACAAAAAGAATTTTAAGAAAAAGAGCTCACCCACATAATCAATTTTTTAAAAAAGCAAAAGTGAAGAAATTTGAGTATAGAATGAATAGATGTTCAACAAATGATGAAGAAACAATTTGGTATCTGTATAAAAAAGAATTATTTTAACCCATTTTTGTGACATATATAAAAATTTAACTCAAATGAATCACAGACCTATAGAAATTCTTTATCTGTAAAAAAAATTTAATGAGCAAATGGTAAGAAAAATCCCCACCCAAAAATAAAGACAGATGATAAGTAAGCTCATAAAAAGACGATTAATGTTATTGAATTGAGGGTAATGGATATATTCACATATTGATTATACAGATGATTTCTGGGAGATATAAGCAATAATTACAAGGAAATTTAGAGAACTAAATACTATTTTTGAAGAGGGAATGTTGAAATCAATTACCTTACTTTACTTTCCGCCTTAGGAGATAGAATAAAGAAGAGTAAATTTAACCAAAAGTGTCCGTGCGGGGGTGGGGGGTGGGGGGTCTATATCTACATATTTTAAAGTCGTACAGTTTAATTTTATCTTATTCTTTACAATTATAGTTAAATGATATGGATGACCCTTTGGTTTTCATTGGTGTGTTTTTACTTAAAAGAAAGTACTTTTTTGTTGTTTTAACCTGCAGGGAATCATCTGTTTGCAGTACAATTTTATTCCACGAGCTGAATGAACCGGGACAACTTTATTTATATTTTTATCAATTAAGTAACTGGTGTTTCTTGAACACTTGTAATGCATCAGAGGGGCCCAAGTGTTTTTGAAACAATGCAAAGTGTTTAAGGTCCAGCCAAACAAGGAGTGGAACCCCAGTGCCCACTGGAGTTTAGGAAAAGCAAAAATTTGGCATGGTTGGAGCATGGGGGAGATGTGTCCTAAACAAGGCTTAGAACTGGAGAGGCCAGGAGGCAGGGCACTTAAGGTAAACAGAGACTTAGGATCTGGAATGAACTTGCTGGCCAGAAAGAGATCTCATGTTTGGGAAAAATGTTTGAACTCTCCAAGTTCCTGAATGAGTTATGTTTTCCAGTATTGCCAACGCATACGTACACACTCACACACACACAACATACCCAAACACACATAACACACAAACACACACATGTAGAGTGAGCAAACACATTTTGAGTGATAATATATTTATTTTCAGAGACTTTGAGATGAAAGTCTCAAAGTTCAGAAGACTGAACTGTACGTGGGTAGAGATTTC